ACAATCCTTCTATGAACTGAGCAAAAACATAGCAAGAAGTGAAAGGAGCCATTCTATATGATAGGTTACAGTACAAATAAAACAGGCGCAGCGCTAGCTTGAAGTATTAAACGGATAATGAAAGAAAAGAAAACATCTGGGTCATAGTTCTATAAAACGAAAGAAGGACTTTTTCAATTGCAAGCAAAATTGAGGCCCGAGGCGGAAGGATCAGTAAAAGGAAAAGACAATGAAAAAGCAGGGCTATTAAGACATGTATGTTGTTGAATTGACTTGGGCTTGCGCCGCGATTAGGCATGGGAGTGAACAACGGCTGCGTTTTCGTATAGACTGTACACGGCCAACGAGGCATCGTTTTTTACTCGCGAGAGACATCGCGGCCAAAGAGTTTAGCTTTGATCCAGTCGAATGCGACTAGAACACGATTACGCGCTAAACCAGGAGGTTCGTTGTTAGTCAGAGCTCAGAAACATACCGATATCGGGAAAACACGGAAGAAGAAGGGCTGTGGCGGACGCGGGCAAGGGCGGAAGTCAACTTACTGCTGAAGCACATGCTCAGATAGGCGCTACGCCAGAAGAGATACGTCAGAGTTCCACCGCTAGCAATGTTCCCGCTGAGCCAGCTGATATCCGCAACGGCGCGTTCCTTGCCCGATGTACGCCAGACTGCCCTGGTGGGAGTACTGGAACGGGCCAATCTGCTTGGTTCGTCGGAGCTGTTTCTGCAATGCGCGGATCTCATCAAGGATCTGGTTGCGTTTCTCGTCGTCTTTGGCTTCGTACTGCGCGATGGAAAGTTTCTTTAGGTCTTTCTCGATGGCTTCGGTTTTGGCCATGGTGTTGAAGAGCCTGGCTAGGAATGCGCCTTCTTGACTGGCGACCTGTGCGGTTGGGGCATAGTTGGTGATGGCGCAATCGCCAACGCCCCAGATGTTTTCGGTTCCGTTGACGACGAGATATTCGTTGACGGCGAGGCCACGGCGGGAATTCTTCTGGGCGGGGATCTGGCTTATGAGGTCCTTGACAACGGGGCGAACAGCGTTACCGGTGGCCCAGACAAGGAGGCCGTAGGGGAATCTTTTCAATTTCCTTGGTGCCATCGGGGTTCGAAATTTCGGCTTCAATGTATTTCTCTGTAACATTCTTGACCATGGTCTTGGTGCGGATCGTAATGGGCTTCTTCTTTGAAAGTAGATTCGGTGTAGTCGATGAGCTGCTTGGAGAACATGGGGAGAACCTGTAGATGCAAATTAGCCTGCTGTGTCAATGGCTTCAAGGGTCAAACATGGCAGCTGTACATTCGGCAAAGCCTCAACTAGAGTGACGTGGAAGTTATCCTTGATATCAGGAACCCATTTCTTGAGGTCCTCGTTGAAAAAATCTTGAAGTTCGCCCGCGAACTCAACACCGGTTGGACCTCCGCCAACCACTACCATGTGAAGAAGGCGTTTGACCTCCTCCGGGGTCTGATCCTTAAAGATGGCGGTCTCAACGCAGTCCATGATTCGCTTTCGGATCTTTTGCGCATCGCCAACTTCTTTCAAGAAGCACGAGTGTTCTTCAACTCCGGGGATACCTGGTCATCCAGAAATTAGTTACCTGTACAGGCCCAATCGCCCTGAATCAGCGGAATTCGCTTACCGAACGTCGCATTGGCCGCACCGACTCCCACGACAAGCATGTCGAATGGCACTTCAGTCTTGGAAGTTTCGCCTTGGATCTCTGATTCGTCGCTAATCTGCACCACTCTCCTCTCATAGTCAATCTTGGTGGCTTTGGCTTCGTAGTACTTGACAGTCGCGGCCTTGTGTCGAAGGATGTTGCGGACGGGCTCCATGATCGAGCGGTGCTCAATCAAGCCGGTGGTGCATGATGGCAGAAGAGGGGTGAAGAGGAAGAAATTGCGCGGGGAGATGACGACGACATTGTAGTTTTCGGTGTCGAGCTTCTTGAGGAGTGAGACGGAGCCCCATCCGGTGCCTATGCAAATGTCGAGGTTAGGGGCCTGGGTGCCAAATTGTGGTCAAGGGACATGGATAGCATACCCAGGATGACCAATGTCTTCTTCTCCGGGTCCGGGACGAACTGCTCTGCGGGATGACGCAGAGAATAGATGCTGTATCCCAGCGTGCCCACTCCTCCCAGCAATGACAGTAGTATTAGCCTGTAGAACCATCTGAACAATCTAAATCTCTTCTTTGGTGCGGGAGCAGGAGACGAGGCGGGAGCAGCAGCCTGTGCATAGGTGCGTCGGGGAACGGCCTGGGCAATAGCTGACGAGAGGATAGGACGCGTTAGGCGGGTGAATTGATGCTGTGAAAGGGCGGACAGAGGTCGGCGAGAGGCTGCAGCTGACAGTCGCAGAGCTGGCCGGGCCAGCAGCTTTGAATTGACCATATGTGTTGTGCTCCCTGGGGATGAGCTTGTGCTGTGAGCAAGATGCTGTATATCCTCACCCCAAACTAATCCGGGCGCAGAGACAGGAACAAGGCAATTGTGGACAAGTGAGCTAAAGAGAGAGAAAGAGAAGGGGAAAAAAAATCTCAATTGCGCGAAACAACAAAAAATGAGTGGTGAGCAACAAAGCCAGGAATGCGAGCGGATGACTCCGATGCAGATGCGGTTTTGCGCTATTCTTGGATCACAGGCGAGAACTCTGAAACTCTGCTGCCGGGCGTGTCCGTGGATCGCAGAGCTCTATCTCACCGGAAAACTCAGCGCTGGCAGTGGAGTGCTTGAGGGCAGAGTTTTTCAGGCAAAAGTCTGCATGTTCTTAAAATCTCTCATCTTAAAATCTCAGCTTTCTCTGGTGGTGATCATCACCGCCTTGGTCTCTTCCTTCTCTTCCAACTACAAGCATCCTCGGTCTCTCGCCCTGGACAATGACATCAACCAGGCTGCATGACCGCATTCGACGGCTTGGTGGCGAACTTGCCGCTCTGACACTTCTGTAGTTAGCTGGTTGGATAATGACTGTGACTCAATAAAAGCAGTTTCTCATAGTGGGGGTGCGAGAATGTTCAGTATTGCTATGTTGATTTCGATATTGATTTGAATATAGGTAGACATCTCTTTGGAGGCTCTCTAGGCGCGGTTGGCCTTTTATTTGGAGATTCTCGGGTACATGCAGATATCAAGAGGCGGTTCGCCCAACTAGGTGGCATCAAGGCCTTGATATCTTCCTCCAGTTTGCCAGTAGATGAGAGTGCTGAAAACGTGGACAAGACTTGAAATGTATCTACCAAAACATCAAAAAGGATGATCACTGACTGATTATGGTTATATCATTTATATCTGTATTAAAGTAACAAGAGCCCGCCGCCAATCGAGGAACACCTCCATACTCGTACAGAGTCGTTGGATATCAAGGTTGTCAACCCACCAAGCCCCATAAGATGCTCGACATGCACGAATCCGGAAGTATAGAAACGAGAGCAAAACGCCAGTGCACCATGCATAGAAGTTGACTCGACAGCGCAATAGACAGTACGGAAAAATCAGGATAAGAATTAGCAAATAGATGCAAAGCAAAAGAGCAAGCCACCGCAGACAAAGAGATACTGCTAATTATAAACTCATAACCGTGAAAGCAGGAAAGGGGACGTCAGCCAAACAACCAAACCCACCGAGATGAAAGTTTTGAGGAAAAAGGATAATATCGCACATTGAAGCTGAGCGGAAAACATGTAGACCCTGCCCGAATTGACATCAACCAGCGTAGGAAAGTACTTAAAACACCAAATGCGCCTAGGATTCCATTCACGCAAGAACGCTGAACGAGGACAAGGAAGAGGAGGACAGTTTGAACTTCGTAAACTCAATCCGTAAACAACCCGAAATGAGACAAGTGAATAATTGTAATTTGGGAGAGGTATGAAAGAACCGACGAAACCGGAAAGCCATATAAGATGAGTAGGGTATCAATGAAACTGCCGGATTCCCGCGACTGCCAACAAACATCAAATCAAGCTCAAACGCCTTGAAAGGTTCCGTTCTCTCATAAAAGTCGTTTGAAAAATAAAAGAAAGAGGATCGGTATAGAAAAACCAAAGCCATGTTTAGTATTTCCATTGGGGATGGATATGCTCTTCAATTTTCCCAACGCAGTCGTCAAACCACCGGCATTCCAAGACATCTGCGATTGTCCAGCGTTTGATAGGGTCCAATTCAAGGCAACCCTGTATCAAAGCTAGCGCATCGCGTCGTTGCCCCAAATCGGTTTCACCCTTGAATACAGCACGCCGGTCCCATCGACCATTGACAATGTTTGCTTGCGCCTTGGGTTGGAAAATGTGGTCAAAGGGTCGAGAGCCCACCACAAGAGCGAAAACTATGACTCCAAAAGCCCACATGTCCACTGCTGGCTCTAGGACACCTTCCTTAGAATGGATCAATTCGGGTGCGGCGTATTCAAGGCTGCCTGCAACACCTCCTGCAATGCTCGTACTCATGTTTGACGGCCCAAACTTTTTTGGCGGTGGTCGATCAGCAGCATCGTCATAGGGAGCGGGGGCATTGGCACCGTTGTCTGTCATCATCCACTCGGACATGCCAAAGTCACAGAGATACAGCTTGCCAAGAGCTTCCTTGTCGTTGGGGTCTTCGAATTGAAGGAGGCAGTTCTCAAGCTTGACATCCCGGTGGACCACACGGGCATCTTCATGCAAATATCTTATTGCTGATGCCAGCTGATAGGCGTAATGCTTCGCTTGATCCATCCGCAGGCCCTCACGGTGATGTCTTTTGACCAGGTCAAACAATGTTCCGCCATTGGTCATTCTGGTGAAACAAAAGGTAGCGTAATCAGTTTCGTAGACTGCATCGAGTGGGAGGACGTTGAAGTGATTTAGGTACCTCCAGACTCGTACTTCGTGGTCGAATTCAGCTTGGAATTGTTCATTTTGTCTTTCAGATTGTCCGGCAAGATTCTTCTTCACGATCTTCACCGCGAAACGTTCTGTCTTGCCATCGTCTTTCACTTTGAAAGCCTCTTTGACGGTGCTGAACCCTCCATATCCAATAGTTTTGCCAAGCACGTAATCGGTTCCCACCAGTTGTCCCTCGTCATCCGGCTTTGGGGCGGATGCTTCGCGGCCGAACATCGATAAGAATGCACTTGCAGGGGATTTGCCTCCTGAGTTTGTCGATCTGCGGGAGCCATGACGCAGCCTGAGGCTACCGTTCCTACCAGAGTAGCTTCGCGGTTTGCCATCGAGGCCATGTCGTCCAAACCAGCCTTCTGCACCATCCAAGGAATGTGGCTGATAAAGAGGGGACGAGGGCAGGGTGGGCAGAAAAACATCTCGTCGGCCGTCCGGCGGCGTTCGCAATTCATCAGTGATTGGAGAAGCGGTGGACAGCGATGTCAAAGAGGAAGCACGAGGCAACTCTGTGTCAACAGAGAAATTATCCGAACCCGGGGACAGATACTCTTGCTGAGAGAAACCTCGAGGAAATAACGGCCTGGCCCCATGGTAATCGTGATGGCTCTCCGTTTGATCTTCTCCGGATTCACCACTATCGCCACTGCATGGAGATTCCACAATCGCCTGCTCTTCCAGCCGCAGGTTTCTTAGGGGCTCATCCAAGGCAAGATGAGTTCCACAATCAAGAGTGACTTCAGGGTTGAAGCTGATGGACGGGCGTCTCTTTCGAGAAAACTCTCCCAGGGGCGATGGATGCGCATAGCACGAATCGTCTGCGAACTCTTCATGATCAGGGTGTTCTTCTGAATAGGGGACGGTAATTGGAGGAGTCGGATTGTTTTCTTCCCAAGCCTCGCTCCTTTGCTGGGGCTTGCTGGACTCGGGCGCCAGCACGTTCTGGGCGGCTAGTTTCCTTCCTCCATCATAGGCAAAATTGTTTTCTTCATGCACCGGAATGGGTGAGTCGGGATAAGGCGTGTCTATTGTCTGGTTTTCAAATGGAACGATCTCCGTATCAGCCATCCCCCCAGAGCAGACGGGGATGGCAAAGCGAAGAAGGTGGATCTCAGCTGTGATGCAGAGAGCAGTGTCGAGCCTCTGAGAGTAGCCTAGCCCAGCTCGATAAAACGATGCTCAGGGAGATGGCTTCTTGTTTGACGGCAGAGGAAGCTCTCTCATGAAGGATGTCCCAAGGGAAGCAGAGACAAATGGACCGGCTGCGGGGGAGAAACTCAGTCGTGGATAGGGTTTGCTATCATGAAAGTCTAGATATCAGGGAGGCAAGACGATGATGAAATGACAGTCGAAGGGTGGGAGTTGAACAGAAGATGAAGAAGATGAAGAGAAGCAGGACAGAAGAAGAAGAAGAAGAACCAAAGAGAGCAGGGAAACAAGCAGCACGAATCCCTGAACTGGCACGCTGCAGCTCCTTCCAAGTCGCGAAGGAGGGCGAGATAGTCGGGTCTTTCCGGAATCGCCACGAAAATGCCTTATCTTGGGCCCGCTAAACCCAATCCGGCCCTCCCTGGCAATTGGTTATCTAAGGGAATGGTGTCATATCTATCACGTGCCCCACCAGCCCTTACCCTAGCGCGGCTTATTCAAGATTAGAGCCGCGCGGATCTCTTGGCATACCCGCTAGGCCTGGCTGGGACTAGCGCCTGTCAGAGCTTAAATATAGCGTCTTGGCTGCCCGTTATATGCGCTAAACCCAATTGGGCCCGCTAGCAGTCGAACCTCCTGAAAGTCTAAACCGGGAAATGTTGTTTGGCCCCCGGATTCAACTTCACGTCTGGCGCTTGCTGCGGTTCTGCCCCGATCTCCTTTCTGCCCTGCACAGAATCGCGGATGATGGGCCAGCCACCTGATGGGCGGGCAGCTTTCGTTATTTTCCACTAGTACATATCGTTTGTTCGCTCCAACTCCTGCCCACGCTCTTTTCGTTTCTCCCTGAAGAATCCCCGCTCCGGAGCGGATCTGCGTACTTATTGAGATATTTGTCCCGTTCAGACTCTCCCTACCGTGCTTGACGAACCCCTTGGCAAGCGTTTTTGCCCGACACCGCAGGCTCTCAATGACGAATCTGTCACTCTCGCTTTTTTTCCAACCGCCGCTTATCCCCAGCTGCTCGGCTCCGGCCACTTTGGCGAGGCACGATGACTCGACCTCAGATGATCCGAGCCGGTGAAGATTGACTCCCGCTGTACTCGTGCCACCCCGCGGAGGCTGATCCTTTGCTGCTTATTAGATACGATTGATTTGCAAGACCCCCTTTCTCCGTCGGCCAAGGACCATTCTCGACCCTCCACAAACGGCACACGCAACCGACATGGGCACGCCCAGCATCAGGATCAGGCCCTGCGGATTGCGGAGCGGGACATGCTGGATGAGATATCACGAGGCCCTCTTTCTCCGGACTTCCACAAAGATGATCGCGGGATCGATGAAGACTACGCCTATGACGGTCACAACAAGCCAGACCATGTCAATGGATTGCAAAATGACCGCATGGGGGATTACGAGCATCACATGGAAGGAGATGCTGCGGACGGTGATATCGATGACCAACTTGACGATGATATGCTGGATAAAATCTCGAGTTCACCCTCTATAGACGATGGTGGGTACATGGCTTCTCCATTAGCAAAATGCTTTACCTCTAGTCGGAGAAAATCGCTGATTGGGAGTAGAGGATATCGACTTCGAATTTGTTTATGCTCTGCATACGTTCTTTGCAACCGTAGAGGGTCAAGCCAATGCGACTAAAGGCGATACGATGGTCCTTTTGGATGACAGCAATAGCTACTGGTGGCTAGTTCGGGTGGTAAAAGACGGCAGTATAGGTATAATATTCTCCTCCCTTTGATGCTCCGACCTTACTCAGATTGCATAGGGTATCTCCCCGCCGAACATATTGAAACACCCACAGAAAGACTTGCTCGCTTGAACAAGCATCGAAACATTGATGTATACTCGCGTAATCCTGTTTCGCTTAAACTTTACTAATTGAGAATTAGCTATCGGCCACCATGCTTGGTGATAATGCTGAAAAGTCGAAAAACCCGTTAAAGAAGGCTATGCGCCGACGAAATGCAAAGACGGTGACGTTTGCTTCACCGACTTATTTTGAGGCGTCAGATATCGATTATTCTACTGAGGAAGAGGATATTGATGATCCGTTTTTCGAGGAAGAGGAGGAAGAGGAAGGGGAAGGGCAAGCGGAAGGAGATGACGCGGAGCGTTCCTCAAACCGGGACACGCAGGCAGGATCTAAAAACAGCAACATGACGGTTGAGCCACTACGCCCTAAGCCACTAACTGACAAGGAACCTGCCAAAGCCCAAGATGAGGAGCCCGTAAAGCTGCCGTCGGAGTCGATTCGAGAAGTAGAGGAGCCGGCCAGCCAGCAAGGTCAGTTGAATCCACTTTACAGGCGTATATGATTCTGACATCCCTCCTAGAGGACTTTAGACATGGGAGGTCGAGGAATGGCGTATTCAGAAATACAGACTCCTTCTTCAAGGACGATATGGTCGAAACTAAGAAGATATCACTCACTCCAAATCTGCTCCGCGATGACGCTAATGAAACCAGCCAAGTAACCGAGTCTAAAGAGGTAAGCCTAATTTACTGTTGAGAGATATCGGGCATGCCGCTGATGTGTGGCTACAGATGAGGGGCCGCGGAAGCTTCGAAGCACTAACTGGTGACCGAAACAAAGATGATAAGAAGCGCAAGGAAAAGAAATCTGGAATGCTCAGTGGTTTATTTAAGAGGAAAGATAAAAAGAGCAAGGCTCCAGACGACGATGGAGAAGAGCACGAAAAGGTGTCGGAAGAGTCCGCTCGCTCGTCAACGGAGCGTAAAATGTCGGTTGAATCGTTGAAAGAGGAGACTCGTGCTCCTAAGCTGCAGGCGGTATCTACGCGACCCGCCGCCAAACTCCAAAAGCAACCCGCGGTAGCATTTCCACAAACGCCTGATTCTACTTCACCCAGTAAAAATAACGTTACACCTTCTGTAAGGGCCGTTGCACCAGATTTGAATGAAGACGTTATTCCTCTTACCATCCGTGCTCGGGTTCCCGAGATAAAACAAAGTCCACCCATCCCAACGGACTCCGTTTCGAACTCCGCTGCCTCACCAACTGCTGCATCCAGTGTTCAGAATACTTCGGCTCCCTCTACCGATATCGCCGATAAGCCTATAGACATCCCTACTCCCACCCTTTCTCCTGTCATGGAAGAAAGTAGGGCTGCGGAATTACATTCTGAACCTGAAATTCGAAAGCCTTCCCTGGACATGCAACCTGTCGAAAGCCCGCCAGTGGCATCGGCGCGAGTACTATCTCCCGACGAGACTTCTGTTTCTCCTCATTCCCTATCTCAACCCTCTTCCGATATTCTTGATGTCCAGCAACCTAAAACCGAAAACACCACACCCGCCAACGCTGTGTCGTCACCACCGCAGAGCCCGGAATGGAACGACGCTGGCCTCAGGGCCTACTTGGACGATGGTAGCGAGATTCGAGATTTACTGATAATCGTCCACGATATGTCGAATGTCCCGCCTGCAGGGCCGGACCACCCGATTGTAGGAGGCCTGTTCAAAGACGAGAGCAAATCTCTAAATGACATGTCGAATCGTCTTGATGAAATGCTGAACGGATGGCTAGCCCGAAAATCTGCTGTTGCAGTACGGTAAGTCGTCCGGTGCTTCGCAAATAGTAAGACACATGAAAAGCGGCGGCGAAACAACTTTCCATAAAAGTCCATCGTCGCTGTCGGTGTGTCGCCCAATTAAAGAAATTCGGCCTCTGCCAGTGGTTATCTTTGATATTTGCAGTATGATTATGAAACACATAATTCAATATGGTGGAGCCCGTCTTTTGAGCATTTGAGCTTTTTCCACATCTTTTCAAGTCCTCCAATTATCCTGTGGCATGGCTTTCTCTTTACATATAAGAAGTTTTGGATGCGAGGTAACTTTATACATCTTTTTATCTTTTCATAGCGCTTTCTCGCTCTTTTCATCGTACCCTTTCATTCGACATGCCGTCCCGTTACGTACCTGTATGTATGTACATACTTTCTTGTGTCCTTTTATCACTGAATATTCTTTTATCCTCCTTTCCAGTATCTTCTTGCATATCTTCTTCTGCTACCCCTTCTGTTCATACCGTCTTGACATGCACTGTCATGGCCCGCAGTTTCTTCGTGTTGTCATTTCCCTTCTTTTATTTCCAGTTTTTAATCATACTCAACTACCCACACATAGATACAGATATACTTTGCAGACGTTACGCGTAAAAGCTGGTTCCAAGTTGTCGGCTCGCGTTACTCTCAGATGACCGTGCTCGTGTTCCACCAATGCAGAGAACCTTGTGAATTGAGATAGTATTGTCTCGATTCGAGCGTACGGTCCATCATAGAGTTATGCTTCGATGGCCACGACTACGGGCTACAATGATGGGGCGCACGGTGACCGAGATGACATGTAGCGCTAGTGAAGCCGCTCTCTCAAAAGCTGGGGCATAACATGTGAATGTATCGCGAGAACCTGAAGGGCATTTTCCCGGCTCGCGGCGATTTAATTCCGGTCTTCCATATGGCAGGCTGGGGCCCTGATCGGGGGTTTTGAGCGCTCCTGTCGCACAGACCATGGTGGTACAACCCGTTTCGGATCAAGGTATCGCGCATGTACCTTTCATATCCGTGCTCATGGCCCCGCGATCTTCGTTTAAATTCAAAAGCCCTCTTATTAGCAGAGGGCCTTGATTCTCCTCGGGGGCGGCCTCCCTGCGAACGTGCATTGAATTGTGCCGTGTCCTGCAAGTCAAGATGGTATTATGGTCTCAGCTCTCCTCTTTTGCGAGTTGTCGTTGTCTGTGCAATGTTTCCAGCTAGCCACCAGAACAAACAAGATGCAGTCCGGTTTCAAAGGCGCTGTTGGACCTGGTGCTGCCTCAAAAATACGGCTGGGCAGGCACTGCTGAGTCAGCGATCTTGTCATTATCTAAGCTTAAACGCTAATGCCGATTAGGTTTAAACTTAACTCTAATTGGGTGCCGCGTGATAACTTTAAACCTTAATTGCCTGACGTCGAGTGACTCGGTGACTCGCTCTCCAGGACAACCTGCTGGACCAGAAGGGCTCAGACTGTCCTTCTCCGCGTTTGAGGCCCTTCTGCTCTCCCTTCTACCCTTCCCCGCATTGTCTGGAAGAATTCTTTCATTATCGACCGACCCTGCGGAGCATCCTACAACCCAGCATGCAACCCTGATTAGTGAATACGACCACGTCAGACGCTTCACAGAGCACCCGCTCCATTTCAGATCAGACGGGAATTCCACAGTACATACCACGGCCTCTGGGATTCCTGGCCTATCCAACCCCGCGCCCTAAACCTCTCGTTTTAGACGTCGTTCGTCAGCCATTTCGGGCCTTAAAAACGTTGAGCTCCCCATTAACCACTCAACAGCTGCCATTCCTGTGGGCCTGACTTTGTCGTCTGACAACATCACGACCTTCGATTATCATATTTGATTATAACGACCGTTGAAAATTAATCTCAGTATTGACTCTTCGCCTTTTATCCATTTTACCTATGGGACGATAGTGAAGCCATTATTGCCAGACCACGAACGTTCGATTGAGAGAGCCAGAGAATGCCTTCATCATGGGTTTCGTACCCATCGATAACTGCGCTGCCTGAGCACTGCGAACCTACGTCGCCTTTGTTAGCCACCATATCATCCTTCCTCCGCATATGTCTCCCCACACCGCTTGCGTTACTTTCCTCGACGTTGGGCACCTTGAGTATCGTCTCCTGGCTGTTCGCCCAGATCCCTCAAATATACAAAAACTACAAGATACAATCGACGGCGGGACTATCGGTCTGGTTTCTTGTCGAGTGGTGCTTGGGCGACACTGGTAATTTAGTAGGATCCGTTTTGACAAACCAGGCCGGGTGGCAGGTTACCATTGCTGGCTACTATGTGATGGTCGACATCATCCTTGTCTTCCAATACTACTGGTACACATACATAAAAGGATGGCAGTTCTCGCGGTTTGGCTACATAAGAGCTCGTGGGGATGATGGTGGTGAAGGGACATGGGAAAGCGCGTTGCCCTCGGAAACCAGCTCGTGCTGCCAGATGGCCGCGTCCTCCGCTGCGTCGCCAATTGCCGCCAAGTTTGGCCCAGCGGAGACTGCCCAGAGCTTAGATACGCTGCGAGGCAACTCCCTATCGTATGCGAACGAGAAACGGGGTTCTTCGAGTCGGAGTATTCAGCGTACCGGAGGCAGTGGTAGTAGCCAGATACCGCTCGCATCGCCCCGCACCCTTTTAACGATCACCATGCTCTGTGTCGTTCTCTCCAACGCTGCCTCGATACCAGAGCCGCACGCTAGACCCATCACTCCCTCCCCACCGGGCACTGACGCCAAGGTAATCGCCGGCCGCATCGCATCCTGGACTTCCACTATCATGTACCTCTGCTCCCGTCTCCCCCAAATATTCAAAAACCACCGTCGCAAAAGCACCGCCGGACTTTCACCTCTCCTCTTCTTCGCCGCCTTCTGCGGAAACTCCTTCTATTCAACTTCCCTCCTCACCAATCCGAACGGCTGGTACGACTTCCCACCCTATGGTGGCGGGGGATGGGCCGGCCCAGAGGGCAACGATCGCTGGGAGTGGATTGGACGCGCTGTTCCGTTTTGGCTTGGGGCTGCGGGTGTTCTGCTCCTCGATGCCACGGTGGGCGTGCAGTTCTTGATGTACTCGGAGAAGCATGATGAGCTGGTTGTCAAGGTCCCGGACGAAGGCAGAGGACGGAGTAAATGGAAGAAAGTTACCGGTTGGATGAGGGGCTGGATCCCTTCGATGTCCCCGGAGAGAGATCTTTCTGCTGTTACGGCTGTCGTGGCAGCGGAGAATCAAGCGTTATTAGCGGCGCGTGGGAGCGATAGATATGGTGGTGTTTGAGCGAAATTTTTCTTCTCTTTTCCTAGTATTATACCCCTTGGTCGTCTTTCCCCTTTTTTCCGACGGGGTTTCAACACCTTATAGACAGCAGGTGCACGGTCAGATCCGTTAGATTTCGGTCCGTCCTCACGGTCATTTATGTTTTGCCTGTTTTGCGAACTTTTATTTTTCTTTTTGAGCCGTCTATGGTACAGACCCGCTTGTTGCTTTTGATACCTCCAATTCTCAATGATGAATGACCCCTTTGTTCCCCCTTTGGCGATATTCTAGCGTTTCGGTGGAGTTTGACTGTTCCAAACCCCTTTTGCCTTTTGATTTTCATGGCACATACAAATGATACATACCCCCATATATATCTAGATATAGCCTGCTGAATCTCGCCCTCTTGCTTTTTATTATTGGATGCATGCTGATTTTTCGTATTTAACTTTTCGGCGATATTTACATACTGAGTGCCAGAGTGTTCATCATGCCGCCAAGGTGTAGGCCTATTGAAACCAAGTGCCTGATAGAATTTATCTCGTCTGTGTAAATATTTTAGATGCGTACTGCAGATTCGGCGAGCTACATATGTTGCTCCATCGTCAACAATGCAATCTCTGAAGATTCCCAGTCTACTATGTACTTGGAAGTTGGCCTTCTTTAACAAGCCTTGTCTTTATAAAAGTTTTACTTTTTCTTCTCATTTTTTGTCAATTTCTAAGATAAATATATAAAACCATTCTGTCTGAGGAGAGGCCGACAAATATCATCTGCAACAAGAAACTCTGGCACATACCAACATGAACAAGAGGGGAATGGATAACATATCAAGAACCACGGCCTAGTAGCGATAGTTGCAGAACCCGAAGTAATGGAAAATATCGTGTGTTTTTCTGACCAACTTGACCAATATCTGAGTGCAGAAGCGCAGGACATATCTCAGCGGCTTTCTGCGCCAGCGGTCTGTGTAGGTTTTGTAAATCTTTGGATGTAGGACGTGAGGTCAACGCATGCCAAAAACGGGAGAGGATAAAACGATGGGACCCGATCTGCCTTGAACCGCCTTGATCTGAATGCTGGCCACAACAAACAGGAGTAGGGTGTAAATCAGCCAGTGGGTCTTATCTGTCTCTGATGGACTCTGGAAAAAAATCAAATTCGTCAAAAGCTGTGGAGAGCTGTTCAAACGCCTTGTGTTGTTTTTGATTGAAGCTGCCCATTTGACGCACATTGACAAGAAGATGGCACACCTAAGGAAAGGTTTAGCTGAAGTAGAATAGCAGAAATAGTGTCAAGAAGAAGACTCTTGATGTCAAGCTAGAGATGACTGTCGGATTGCTGGTAATATCTGCTGTGGTGAATCTGTCAAAAGCTGTTGATCGAGATGCAGTTTTGAACCTCATAGAGGTATGGAGCGGATTGCTGATTGAACACTCGTGAAACATTGACTACCAACAGCCACCGCACTCTAGCCTTCAGGCATATTGTGTAGGGTTTCAAGGAGTTTGAAGATGCAATTGTATCAGACAAAGCATATGTTTAGTCCACCACCTCCCCTTTCTAGGGATTTGTTGCCAACGTATGGTTTGCCGATAATCAAGGTCGGTCCAAAAAATATCGGAGGGAAGTCATAGAAAAGTCGGTATCCCGCCATTGAATCCACAGTGCTCAACTCTTCGCCCTTTGCAATTCCTCTGCCATGCGGAATGGGATGGTTATGTATACCTGCGAGGACCACCCAACAATTCTTGCAAATCATTACTGGATTATTACTTGAAATCTCAGCTGCTTGATCATATTGAACCCAGAAATCTGAGTGGCAGTTCTTGACAGCTTGATTTGAGCTGTGATTTTTCTTCTCTTCAATCGACTGAGCAGTCTCTGTTGCTGACCACCAGATAGTGAATATCTTTGAGTTCTCCATTTTACATATACCACTTTCTCAATTCGCATCTGAGTCAACTCAGAAGGGACATCAGTAAAGAATGAAGCATTATTGTCAATAACAACAGGGCAAATTCACAATCGGCACTCCGCGTCGATGCTCGGAGATGAGAGAACAAGCGAATCCTGGAAATTGACGTATATGAGGGAAACCCCCGCAACTTTCGGTGGATGAGACCGCTTGGGGGTGCCGGAAGCGTTCCGTTTATCTCCTGTTGCACCAAGAAGGCTGGATTTCAAACTCTTTGAAATAGCTAGTTAACAGTAGCATTGTGGTCAGGCCCAAACAAAATCTCACTGATCATGCTAGGACTTGTCTATTTCGTCTTTGTTGTTAGGGTGTCCGAGATGCGACCTATTCCCTCAAGAGTACTTGACTGTCGACAAACATTCGAAGCTCCGTGTAAAACTAACTCGCATCGAATAGTAAAATGGTTCCAGGAGGAGGATCACAGAATCATGCGATGATTGAGACAAAAATGCTAATTCAACGGCCTCCAACTTTCTTGCGGTGGTGCAGCGTCAAGGAAATACGACGGAACTTGACGAGTCGGCTGTCGAGCAAACCATGGCATGTACGTACGGAGTATATACAGCGGAATCACGCGGATTTCGGCCCCGGGGAGATATAATGGCCCACACGATAGGACTATCGAGGACATATAGAGCCGAAGCGACACCTAACGGCAGCTTTTAAGTTCGTGGGAGACGTCCGCGAAAAATAGCTCTAATATACCGTCAAGACGATGTCCAGTATCGACATCCTATCCCATAGGCACGGTGGATGCATGACGGCAACAAAATGCCGACTCCACTGAAAAAGAAGGAACTATTAATCCTCGAATCCCGCCGACACCTTTCGTTCGAGAGCTCCAATAATTTCGGCTTGTACTGTATATAATACATATCCCCAGGCGGTCGGTGGAACTTGATATCAAAGTTGTCGAGCTGGACCGCCTTTTATACCGATTGAGTGGCCGAAATTAAGACTGCTGCCACCAACTGCCCAAGCCAGATGCTGGTAAGATTGCTGTCGTCTTGATAATCACTGAGCTAACAACGTGGGCCGGGCTTGTAGAGCTTGCAGCTGAATTGATTCCGGGTAAAGGTAACAACCAAACCGCCATGCGATGTCGCTTGTGTCGGCCAAATGAGAGAAATAGCCTTGTTAACCACCCTCGCGAGCAATGGCTTTTCGATTTGTATCGATGCGTTCACCAAATGGAAAACTTATCTGAAAATTCCCCATGACCAGCGCCGGCCACAACCCTTGTTGAAGCCATAGTAAAGGAGTCACGCGAAGTATTATAGTACATGATATCGTTTTCCACTCCATAAAGCATCACTGAGAGCAATGGGACACGAGCGTGAATCGATGGTCTCCAGACGGAATTTGTGTGCAATCTCCAGGAATTTCGTCGATCAAAGGTAAGTGGCCCTTGGACACACAAACGACACATACCTCACCAATGCTGGTATATGCATCGCTGTTTGACTCTGTCACTCATCCGTCTCCAAATTTGGATAAGGGTTGGATATCGTGTATTCTGTGGCATCGTATATAAGTGATCTGTGAGTACTTGCTCATTTCATAATATAGCGTTTGGTGCGAGGCGGTGTTTTGCTGGGAGTGTCATTTCATCCACGAGAATAAGACCCATCGCAATCTGGCTCCAAATGTAGCTGAGGATGAATCGAGCACGAAGACATTGATCACAAGCAAGACGGAACGTGGCCTGAAGCCTCCCTTTTGGCGTCACTCGGCGTTCTCTGAAATTTTGGTCACTCGGGAGCAAGCCAAACGGTCCAATATATCTTCTCTCAAATGCGGCTCGAGTGCTCCGTATATATATTTATGTCAGACCGGTCATCGACTCCGTCGACATATGTAACACAATCCCCACTCGACAGGAATCTGCCGCACCCGCTGGCAATTTCCACGCTTGTTGCTTTTTCGTTGACAGGGATAGAAACCGCCAGACTCGATATGCCCACAGGCGCAATGTCGAATAAGCTGATGGCACATTGTAACAGGGGGAACTGGCATCCAAGCAGAAGCCTCGTATATATGTCGAGAATAAGTGATGTCACCTCCGTAAGGTTGCCAGGCCAGCTAACTATAGCATGTTCCGAAGGCACGCAGGCCTAGCAACAAAACAATCGAGTTTATTATAGTACTGGATTGCCTTCAAGGCGGATGCTCCAGAGCAGTGATCTTCACGATCGCAGCCGAGCGTCCCCAGCAGTCAGGACCAGGAGAGGCACTGAGCTGGATATATCCCAATAACACGAATTGCGATGCGAAAATTCAACCAAAACCGAAGACCTTCGCTAGTATAACATGTTAGTTACACTCAAATAGAGCTAGGACGAGCTTAACTTACTAGTTGAGAATTAAACAACATTCATCAACGGCTATGCACTTATTGGACGAGTAAGTTGATGGAACAGAACTCTGACCACACCTCACAGCAATAAAGCGATGGCGTATTCACAGTCGCAAGAAGGCACCTAATGCAAAAATATGCCCTTTGGGCCTTTGCTCAAAAGGATATAGTTCACGGAGCTAGTATGTCTGTGAGCAATGTTGCCACAGAATTCCCAAAGGGCCACAGACAACAGAATCCGAAATCGACAGAGATATATAGGCCAGCCAACGCAAAACGGCTTGAGGAGAAGAGTGAGAAAAGTGACAGATAAAACAACAATAGCACAAAAAATGTATATGGTGTGGGACGGCAGTTTTTGAAAAGAGAGAATGACACAGAGATTCTGGCAGTATATATAATATGTCAACTTCGTTACCAATCCCTATAAAATGGCCAAGGTTGCGAATGCTGATGAGGAGGGGAAAAGTCAACTCTTGCGGGATTTCAGGGCCCTAATATACTACCAACGGGCCGGACTGACGAGGGCCAAAATCACCGGTGCTGACCTTTTCCCTTTGACGAAGCGAGGGAGAAAGGACGGGTGTCTGAATCACCTTTCCAGCACATATGCGCGTGTCACAAGAAGGGAGACAACGAAGAGAAAAACGGGGCATTATGCGTGTATGTGTCCGAAGGAAATTAATCCTGTGAGGTTTTCGTCAACTCCGAAAAGACAAGCAGTGGATATGCGTTCTCCGAATGTAGATAGCCATGGATTAATAAGGGGACGGGGAAAGCAAAAAAGACAAAGCGCTTCCCCGTCTCTACTCCTTTTCTTTTTTGTTCCTCGGCTGAGGATAATGGTCTCAGCAGCAACAGTCAGCGTGCATTGAGATGTCTTGCCAAACGATTCTCGCATTGCTCTGTCAGAACGCCAAACGTAGATGCTGCGAAAGCGGACGGCAGCCGCGCAGCTGCATCGCAATTATGCAGATAGCGCCTGTCTCTTGCCTTAGTCCAGTCCAGTAACCGCATGAGACAAAGCAACGTACCATGCCAATGGCTATTAGACGAAAGAAAAGCCATATCTGGGTTCTTAAAAAAAGAACACGACCTAATTCCTCACTGGTATATTAGATAGTTATGCATTATTAGTTAGTTACAGCCATGTCCATTCGCAGACATTTATCTAATGACATCGTAGTGTAAAAGTAAAACATCAATCCAAGAAAAGGAAGCCAAAACAGAAGTACCGAGTTGTCCATTAAAAGGCATTAGGTTTTCTTTTCATTCTCTCGTGAATGTACAAATCCGTGCTCTTGCCCCTGAGCCTTGAAAAAGGCCCTGGACTGAGACATCAAGAAAAGAAGCAAAAATAAAGGGCGGCATGCCACACGGACGTGTGCAACGCAGGTAGGAATCCCCCAGAAATAATCCAAGAAGACTTCCAAGGGTCTCTCCGCATGCGGCGGATCTTACGCGGTCTTCCGGCAACGAAACCAGCCAGACAGCCGAAGACGGTACCGGAAGCGGCAAGCCGATGCATGCTCCCTGCTCGAACATTCCCTGCAGCACTAGCCGACTTCCGAGACAATTGACTTGTCAGAGGGCCCCAGAGGCGAGTTTCAATTAGAAACATCACCGAAGAAGGAGAAACAAAGGTAAAACAAAAATTGAAAAAACTGGCGGCACCATACTTCACCCTCCCAGCCCAACTTCGTGAACCTCTCCGCCCCCCGAATCAACAACGCCGACAAAGCGAGAACGAGCGTACGCCGCAAATGCCAGATAATTCAAAGAAAAATTTCCCTTTTGCTACAAATGGCCCGCGACAGAAAGGATGTAACACCCCAAGCCGAAAGAAAGTGCCTACTACTAGAAACCTTGGAGGGTATGACGATGGCCCGCACTGATCAACCTCCTTCGGAGCGGATAGCCGATAGTATTTCCAGTTTATCTCAGGGGTCGCTTGACATCTTGAACCCCGCGACGAATCACGTCTTCATAACGCCAGCGTGGAGGAATGATCTGGCCATTGGCACTTTGCTGACGATACCAATCATTCTCCATCTCTGCGCTTACTCCATCCGGCGGAGGTAGAGCACCACCAGCGACACCACTTGAGAATTTGAGCTGTAGCACGTTTCCAATCTCGTCACACGCGGATAACAAGCGATCGAGGTCGTCTTTGGTATGTGCGGCAGAGACACAGAACCGGGCTCGAGACGAGACCAGGGGTGTGGCGGGGTATGAA